CACCCCGTCATTACTCCACTGGCAGGGCCCAGCAGCAGGCTGGGCGGTCCGCGCTCAGACGCCAAAGCAACCGACTCCTACCACAGCGGCTGGAAACCAATAAGCGGCGAGCAACGTCGTCGCTCTCTCACACTGCGGCCATCCTAGAACCAACCCCCCTGCAGCGTCGTGTCAATTGCCAGCCCCCCCTTGCATTCTCCCGTGCACCTGGCCGCCTGCTCTTTTTTTTTACACCTTGATTAGGTCCTGGGATGATATTTAAAACGGGTGAAAATTGCCATCTGAAATATTTGTGGTTGTGAATCGTTCTTCCCTTTTTTGGCTGAAATGATAATGAAAATAAACTAAAGTGGACGAAGAGGAACGATAGCAATTAGCGTATTATCTTCACCCCCTACTTGCACATTCGTGTATGTGCGACAATAACCAACAAACAAAATATAACATTATCTGTCAACCCACTGTTGGATGGATGAAGGCCTCCTAACGCTTTCACCATATACTTTATTTTAATAGATGTATCGTCCACTTCATAGTCACACGCTGTAGTATTTCGTGGACAATGTTAATACTGGTAGGAACCTCCTGGTTACACCAGCCCACAGGTAATTATTGTGTCCGTCCGTCCGTCCGTCGTGCATCCAAAAATGGGAGGGGTGGGGCTGGGTGGAGAGGGGAGGGTAGGGAGGGGCTGGGTGGGTAGGGGAGGGTAGGGAGGGGCTGGGTGGGTGGGGCTTGGTGGGGAGGGGCTGGTCACCCCGTGGTGCCCTTATAAAGCTCAACGTTTAACCTACTCACGCCAGCTTGTGCCCGCCCTCACAGTCGGCCATATTTGCAAAATACACCACGCCGCCGTTGACCCTGGCCATTGACCGAGCAACCCAACAACGCTCCTACCAACTCCCTCTGCAGGAATGTGTTCTCATCTCTCATATCTTCAGCTCAAGCCTCCCACAAATCATGTGACTTATGTATGGCCAGCCCCACGCTGAATCCCTCCCCTCTCCCCACTCCCTGTGAATACAAACGCTGCTTCGTGCAGCTCACCTCCTACTTGCTCCTTGTTTCTCGCTCCCTCTCTTTGTTTAAGATCAGAGGAAACAAGAAGATGCTCGGTGTAGTCGGCACTTTGCTTCGTTCATCATTTCGTTTTTTTCAATGCTTTGCTTTATGTTAACCCGCCCTCCCCCCTTTTAAATGAAATATTTAACAAAATATTTCACGCTCTGCTCTCCTTACCCCATCCCTCTTTCTCTACCTCTCTTGCCTCCCCTCCCACCATCACCCTCTCAGCCCCAACATCTTGGCCTGGGACTTCCATCTCCCCCTCCTACTCCTTCTCCTCTTCCGACCAGGTGCTCCTTATTTCTTCTTATTGCTCATCTTTAGTGACTCCCTCTTTGTCCGTTTTGGGGACATCCGTTCGAGCATCCTTTTCCCGGCCATCCTCTTCTCTCTTCCCATTCCTGATTATTTTCCCATCCATTATATCCACGACTCTACTCTCCTTCCTGTGGTGTGCTAGGGGTCAAATTATGTCTACATTTAACACGAACGAATAACTCACACACTCTGTGTCAGCGCACTGGTGAATGAAGGCCTACTATGCATGCGTTGTCGGTCATGGGGTTAATTGACCGTACTTCACCACGCCGAATCAGTGCGGGTGATTGAATGGGGGACCCCCGACTGCATGGTTCAAATCTCATTCACCACCCATGTTAACCATGGCAGGGAATGGAACTCATGTCCCTGGCTTTATATTGCATTGCGCTGAGCTACGCGTCTCACATGGTGTACCATGTACTATGTATATACGTGGGGAAGGTGGGGGGTGATGGCGCAGCAGTTAGCGTGGTGCGCTACAAACCCGGCGACATGAGTTCGTATTCCCGCTCACGGCCAATGACCGTGATGAATGTTTGAACCGGTGCGGGTCATCCCTCGGTCGATTCAGCCTCTAATGAGTGCCTGTGGCGGTGTGTAAACGTCAGCACTGGGAATACAAAGGTGGCCGGGCGTGGTGTTGGTCACCCTTCATAGGTACTTGCTAACAGCACTTGCTCCAACGGTCTGTTAAGGTTATATGGGGGATCTTTGACTTTGTTATATAACTATAAAAAGGTCCATTTTAAACGTAGGACATTCTTTGAAGTGTTTGCCATCCTTTTTCGTGTGCAAAATGTCGCCTTTTTCAGTAGAATTATCTCGAGTTTTATTTCAGTTGCATCATTCCACACGGTTATGCGATAAAATATCAAATGACAAAAACACCCTTAGAGATGTGCACAGTGCAGCTGACATCTGACCGCAAAATCAACAGACAAAAAATGGGTAGGTAGAAGATCGCTGTAATAACAGCAATTATCCTATTTTGCGGCCTTACAGGGCTTTTGCTCTGGCATTAGACATAAGTGCCATGGAATTTCAATTATGTGTTTATTACAACACCTAATAGAAAAGGAGATAAATGCAGGTGTTTGGAGGCAGCGGAGTATGCGACAGGGTGTGTAATAGGAAGCCGATAGAATCGCTGAAGCTGCACATCTCTTCTCCATTAATCTTGTCTCCCTCCGAGCCTGTAAAATCAGAAATCGAATTTAGCAGAGTCGTCTTCCGCTTGCTCTGTGGCCTGTTCCTTCCAGTAAATATCTTGTAATGACGGCCCGGTGGTAATAGCAATCTCCAATACGGTGAACTGAATAACTCGATCATGAGCATTTGTCAATTTAAAATTGATGATTTTCAAGACGAGCTTTGTAAGTAGACAATTTTCCTCGTGCGTTTGCTTCACGAGACGGCAGGGTGACTTTGGGCATATCACATTGAACACATCTTATAACTAATTAATTGAACGTTGGGGAGAGAATGCTTTTTTCTACGATCCGGGTTAATTCCCACCCCCCCCATTCCCCTCCCCCTAAAAAAAAATGTAACAAATTTTTTTCATTCTGTAATTATTTTTGGCTATCACAAGCCCACAATACAAGTTTACATCAACCTGGAAAGCAATTGCAGAAGGTGAGGGAAATTACAGTCATTAATAACTGCCAGATATGGGCTCAATTTCAAGCCTCAGTGGACAAGGCGTTGCATCCTGACCCACTGCCTCTCCACCGCGTACTGCCGCTTGCTGGATCAGAGGTGCTGCTGCCTTGAGTGTAATGGAGAGAAAATTGATGTTGGCACGCGGTGCCACAAACGAGGACGTTGCACACGTGACCTTCCAAGAAAACACGTGAACTCCTCTTTTCTGCCAGTCGCATTTCAATTACAGAATGTCACCAACCTTGGAGAGCGGGGTTGTGCAGAAATGCAAGTATTCTTCCATCACATCGGGGCAGAGAAGTTCTAGACGCGTGAAGTGACAAATTGTGACCTTTGCCGTTATCGTAGCCTATTAAAATTAATTGTAAAATTATTTACAAACATCAGCTTTTACAGAGCTACTGCATATTAGAGAATACTAATAATAAGTCAAAGCATATATAAGCACAACTCTGTTCTCTAGCTCCAAATGTAAGTAAACATATGCTTTAGCGGGGCGGTGGTGGCGCACGCCTGCGATCCAGCACTGTGGAAGCAGCGAGGGTTGGTGGGTCACGCGAAATGTTGTGAAACTCCCTGCCCGTGGGCGTTAAGGACTCGCTTGAAGAACGTGGAGACTTTTTTTTCTCTTCTTGGTTCTTTCAGTAAAGTCACGTAGAATGGAAATAATAAAATAATAAAAATGAAACATAATAAAATCATTCTCACGACGTTTCGGCCACACCGCAAGCAGCCGTCCTCAGGTGGAGAACATGTCTGTCGAGAAGACAGAGTCTGAATGGAGACTACCTCTGTTCCAAGTAAACACTTCTGCATTGGCCGATGACGCCTGAATATATAGAGAACCGCAGAGCTTGGGTTGGGGGATTCCATCGGCCTATTGGCTTACCAGAACGATATTAATTTGCAGCATTTGCTTAAGCAAGCAAACCCAGGACTGGTTTTGACCTTCTGAGTCTCATCAGCAGGCTCGGGCTTGTTTCACCAATGCTTCTGGATCACCAGATGTAATCACAGAGAGCATTTTCATCGAAACAATGGCGCTCTCTACGTTTACTCCCAACTACACAGCATACCTAACGTCATCTGAAACCCGCTAGCAAATAATCCCAGTAGAGTTTGTCCCGTAAGACAAATAACAACAATATAGTTAATTTCTAACAGATTATGATTTTAATAATGCCAACGTGTTGTGCATTTCTGTAATGTGCCGTCCTAGCAGGATGCAGTGAATTGTGCGAGCATTTGTTAGTGGAACGAACATAAAATCAACAGCTGCAAGCACAACAACAACGATACCAAGAGCAGCAACAACACCGTTTCGCAGTTCCTTAGCAATTCAGAGTTTGCTTTCATCGGCGAGGGCTACACACGCGCAACAACCTTCAGCGGAGCACGAGCGCCTTTCACAGCGGCTGAGCAGAGGACAGAGATTTATTGGCTGCTGTTGGGAAGACAGATGGGGCCACATTACCCGTACATTTCGCCGGGTGCAAAAGCCTCTTCAGGAGGAGTACGCTCCACTGCGGCAATATTCCGACCTTTTTCACGGAATCGTAGCCGCAGTGCTTTTCTGTGGGGGGGGGGGGGGGCATTGATGTTGGTTTGTGCAGGATGGCCCACTGAGAGCGATAAATGTGAAGAGCTGGGTGACATGTGGAGCGCTGTATGCAAGTAGTACGTATGTAAATCGGTGAAGGAAGTGCATTCCGCTCAATGTTAATGAAGCATAGACTACGCGAATTAATCGGAATAATTTTTTTCCCTCCGCCGCTGAATAATGACCACTTTTACGTTTTGTCATCACATATATCGTCCCAGCGAGCTTGGAACGTTGGCCTGGTTGACTGGGGTATTGTCAACGCGAGTACGACAATTGTACTGATGAGATTGGGTTATGCTAGAAAGTTGCGTGCCTTTGATTTTGTCCATAATTGCCTGTTTAGACGTAATTTTAAAAAAGACATGACGCTACAGTAAAAAGAAAAATTTCCTCCGAGGCGTTTACAGTAGATCGTCTGGGTTGCGATGCATTAGTATGCCGTGACTGGTGTGGTGTTGGGGAAATAGACACTCTTGATGATCAGTTCCAGAACATTGCAGTCTTCATCAGACTGGGGATGGATTGACGCTCCATTAACCGGCACTGCCACGTGATGACGGAGAGAGATCATTAAGAGCTACCAAGAGGCTGACAACAACAACGACAACAACGACGAGTTTGCCAGCAATGAAACTGTTCATGGCTTGCCACAGGCAAGGGACGCTTATTTATATGCAAAAATAATATTGCTGAAATCGCTTTGCGCATGAGGTGTTATACGTAAAAGTAATTACCTGCTGTGTTATGCTGAGTTCCTTCAGTAGAACTCCGTTGGTATTGTTGCCCTGACAAAAATGTCCAAAATGTTCGATAGCAATATTCATTTATTTGCCCTTCATACGTAAGGCATTTATAATTGGATTTAAAAAAAGTAAAGTAATGATGTCAATGATTCGTCATTTATTCAACACTTTCTGTCGACTCAGACACACATGTTCAACGGCAGCAATGAATATTTGCATTTCAGCATCACCAATTCAAAACATAAGCGATTAACAATAGCCCAATTGAAATGACATAAACCATGTAACACCAGACTCCCGTACGACAAGAAATGTAGCCATCAGCATGGACTTGCTTTGGTCTCAGTGGCTTAGGCGCACACATATTCGCATCCAAGTTGAAAACACTGAAGCAACGATCACTATTCTCACACATTGCTCGTAATCTAGCGGATTCATTATTCCGTAGCTACATTTCAATATAGTTCAATCGCATATTATTTGTGCAAGTAGAAAACATGTGATATGATAACGGAACCACGTTCATATTAAGCAAATATCGCAAATGCATTTAAGTTAGGAGCACTTTACAATCAGGCATCAACAACAAATTGCACACTGACTACATACAGTATTATTTCGAAGAAATCACTATCAACGGTATTACAATCATGGCAGTTGCATTCCCATATTTAATGTATTCATGAGTTCATCTTAATGCACGGATGAGATAAAAATGAATTAACGGTCTGTGGAATGGAATCTTTCTTGAACAACAGTGGCATCAGATAATACAGTATTCCCACATTAGCATTTTTTGTCAAGTGGTTGTAATGGATTTTGTAAGATGAGCATTTTGAAAAATAAGGGGGGGCATCTCCAATATATATATACAATGCCATTGTGTCCAATAAGACTGTCGTTTCTTTCCTATCAACTAAGCGATAGCACTGTATCTATATCTCTAACGGAAGAGTTTTCTTCTTTACTTCTAAATGACAAGGTGTGAGAATGTTAACCAGTCGCGTAGATGCATAAACGACGCATAATTTCCACACGATAAGACTGGGGTTTCAGTTTACCAATTCATATTTTTGTACACGTGATCCAGTTGTATTGAAATTGACTAACAAGTGGCTTTCGTCTATTTTTTCCTCACACTTTCTCTCGAGAATAAACAAATCGCAGCCAAAAACATTACACAATGTATATTTCGATTTAAAGCTTTCATGACTGCAGGGATTCATCTTCTTGGTTCTTTCGGTAAAGTCACGTAGAAGGAAAATAATAAAATAATAAAAATAAAACATAATAAAATATTATTTTTATTATCTTATTATTTTCCTTCTACGTGACTTTACCGAAAGAACCAAGAAGAAAAAAAAAACAATGTATAGTGGATTCAACGCTGTTCAGCAGTTGGCCCTCACCAGGATACTTTAACAATTTTTTTTCTGAATAAATTTTTTTGCGTGGTAATCATAGCAACCATGAAAAACGGTGTTTCAGCAGCAGCAAGAGCAGCACATTTTGTTGTTGTTGTTGTTGTTCGTAGCATATAAGCTCTCTCTATAATGCAACGTCGGCGTTACGACGGATGCCGGCGTCTTTCCGCACCACAGGAGCCGCCGCGGGGCTCACATCTCCTTGTAGTTGGCGCGATCTTGCTGCGGCTGAGCGGAGCCGCTGAGCCGGTGCTGCAGGTGATAGACGCCGATGATGACGACGATGATGAGGCCCAGGGCCAACCCCAGAGCCAGCGGCAGGGTCTCCTCGAGGCTCTCACGCTGGTCCACCGTGCACTGACTCTCTGCTCACAGCCGACGAGGGTCGGGGTCGGGGGGCACGCGATTATAGGGCTCGCGGCGATTAAGAGAACCAGGCATCGCAGCAGAACGGAACGAATTACACGATATCGTTGTTGACCCTGTTCTGTTCGAAATGTTACATTTTCAGCAATTACTATGTCAGTTATTTGTTTAGCCCAGTGAAGCCTCGGTGAAGGGGAAACCCTGTAACGCATGACCTTGCTTACAAAAGCTCACGGGGGCATGACACAGTGGTGAACAATCTTTAAATAAAATGTTAAAATACGAAACAGAATGAGTAATGATTTTACGTGTTTTTTTCTTCCTTGGATTCTGCTCGAGAACTCAACCCCCATACATATGGAAAGGCCCACGACTCGTGTAACATAATGTAGCCCCGATGTTTGTCTTGACAATGCTGGTGCAACACTCGTAGGGCCACGTCGCGATGGGTGCCACCGCTGGCGATCCTGAGCCACCGTTGGATTTTTCACATTACCGTGGGGGAGTCCAATCGGACCCACTTTCACGCGGCACAGAGCACTATTACACTGCGCTTTCATGCCGAGCCTCAAGACATCAGCCCTACACATAATTTATAAACGCGAAGCCAAGGCTCTGACCTTTTATGCAATAGATTTTTTTATAGGCCTCACAGTAGTATATCTGTTAAATATCTGGCTAAAACTGGAAATCTTCTTCTTCTCACATGAGAATTATATTATTCTCACATGATAATTATTTTATTATGTTTGATTTTTATTATTTTATTATTTCCCTTCTACGTGACTTTACCGAAAGAACCAAGAAGATGAATCCCTGCAGTCACGAAAGCTTTAAATCGAAATTTAAACTGGAAATATTCGCTCCATGTGTGCACTGGGCGTGACGTTGTCTGCCGGTGCAAATCTCCGAGCGGCATTATCAACGTAAACGCACTCCGACAGCGAGGCATGTCAGCTGATCCTCTCGAGAATGCAATCGTGGAAGGCACGGGCAGAACATGGACTTCGAGAGCGAGGAGGTCACGGAAGAATGTCAGGAACTTCGTTGCCCGCCCCATGACCTGAATAGTTGCACAGCCCATCGGGAGAATGTTTCCAGTTGCATTTCCCATGCCGTTTGGATGCATAGCTTCTCATCTTTTCCATAACCCATAAATTACAGGTATGCTGGTAACTACTTTGTTTTATCTTTAACCTACGGCACACATGTATGGCTCACTTGTCAATACATTGTTGTATGAAGGTCTCCCCCATGTTGTGGTGGGTTGTGTGGGTTATCCGACCATAATTCACCGCGCGGGTCCGTCAATGTTGGTGAAGGCGGAAATCATGAAGTTGTTGGCAAAAGCAAAGGCCAATACAAATAAATGAATTATCCTGGCTGCACTTTTAAAACCCAGACCTTCCTGGGTAAGTAAATAATAATAATATTGCAATTATAAGTAGTGTGCTTGTTAATCATGAGTATCATTAAATTCTAAACCATGAATACAAGTCTACATCTCCCCTGTGTGAAATGTTTTTGTATTTAACTTTTCTTTACAAATTTAATTTGAGTGTTATCACATTTATAATGAATCAATCGAACGGGACAAATGTACTCTTAATGTTGGGGAAATAATTTTAATTGGTCGTGATTGCATAAAAAAACCACTTCAACACCATCGCATTGTGCAGTCTCATACATCAACCCCACTCCAAATGACTTGGGAGTGGGAGCAAGTGGATTGTTGTATAGGCTGCGATAAGCGAACGTGGCAGGTTTTTTTTTTTAATTAAATCTCCTTACAATACTTAGAACATGGTGAGAGTCGATTAAGATGCTATCTATTGAAAACGTCAACCTGATTGTTTGTTCCAGAAAAAAAGTAGACCAATTTATTTCAGTAAATTAGTTTGCAGGTAAAAAAAACACCCCACAGTTCAATTTTGTTAAGAGCAATATCGTACGTCATAGGTCCCTCATTTACCATATGCTAACAATTAATAATGATAGCTGAGTCACGATGCGATAGTGCTCAAATGCGTAACACACAAAGTTCTGAGTTCAAATCCTGCTCAGGAGACCACTCAGCTTATTAACGCTCCAGGGTGGAATAAGTGAGCGTCACGTTGTAGGAAGTCAACAGTGGTTGCGCCGTGGAAAGACCGGTTCCCACCATAGTAATGCAGAATTTTCACCGCTGTCTTCAAGGCAACAAACAGAAAATGAGAGTACGACTAAATCACCCTTAATATGCATTTGATGTCGTGAACCTCAGAAGCTAAGCAGATTTGAGTATGGTTAGAACTTTAATGGGGGAGCAATTTAGGGCTTGTCATGTGTTGTAGGCTTAGGCTGTGAGGTGGGTATGAGATGCCAGTAAAACAATGGGTTTGGTCGACAGAGAGATGTAATCCACGCTACAGATTGAATCTATCTGTATGGGGATATGGGTGTTATCCACTCAAATGCGTGGGTTTTCTCTGGGCACTTTGTTTCTTCCCACGTGAAGCCAAACACTTTTTGATGGGCTCGGTCAATCTCTCCACTGGAACATCGGCGAGAAAAACGAGCCCTGTGGCTAATTTATGCTTTTTTGTCATATAAAGTGAGACACTTTGATTTGCGACGTGTCCGTATGAGGCCTTTGGAATACATGCAAGGCCGTGGCCATGGAGTCAACATCGAGGGGGACCAAATCTTCCAGGGTGTCTGGGGGTCCCAACCCAGAAAAATATCTAAATTTGAAAACGAATTTCCTGTCTAAATTATTTAAAAATTCACTAACACATGGGATGGACTTTTTATTTATTTTTTACAATAATGTCTAATAGTGTATTGTACTACATTGCTCTGTTTTACTTTTTTAACATTGTATGTAATGGCAGATTAGGGATTAATAAAGTACAACCATAACCACAATCATATGAACAGAAATCTATGCATTGATTTATATGAAGACAAGTCCAGATATTGTGGCCAAGGTTTAGCAAATTGTTGTTTTTATTTACATAGCATAGCAATAATTTTTTAATAGCAATATATTTGGGGGGACATTTTGAGCATTTTCAATATATATTGGGGGGGGGGGATGTGTCCCCCCCCCCAATATATATTATAATTACGGCCTTGCAATACATACTTTACGTCATTAGGGTAAACCGTTGCTATCGACATCGTGAGTGGAATGATACCTGGACCGTAGAGGAAGTCGCCCGCGATCTCGTAGGGCTGCATCTTGGCTTCGGAAATCTTGAACACGACCACTTTCTGTCGGTCGTGCGCGCTGAGCGAGATCGTCTCGGTGGTGAGGCACGAGTACGAGTGGCCCATGGGCGTCAGGAATAGCGCCATGTGTGGGTTGCTGATCGCGGTGAACTTGCCGACTGCTCAGACACACGCAGGACAGTCGTCATCGTCGTCATCATCAACAACGGATGTATTATACCGCATAAGAACCCGCCAGAAACGTCGCGCAACGGAAGGAACGAAACGTTGTTTTTCCACCTGCCCACTGGTACCCCCCGCTCACAGGCTGCACCGAAGTTGGGGGTTTGGCAAGGAGCGGGGGGAGAGGGAGTGGGGAAAGGGAGGGGGAGGCAGGGCAATTTCAATCCTCCGACTTGGCAGACTGGTCCGTGGGAGGGGACAAACAATAGACCTTAGCCCCCCACTATAATTTCCTATTGACGTGGGAGTATGTATAAGCCGACTGGCTTAATTTCAATTTCTATTATTATATATTGATATTCGCACATTGTCCTGAACATAATATCGATGTTACACTTGCAAAGGCGCGGTTCTAAGGGGAACAAAAAACGGCTTCGCTCATTTGGAGTAAGTGTCGCCGAGAGGGTCACATGTGAACAACCAACACAGAGACCAGGGCATTCGTGCCCACGTGTTTCGCGCATTCATCTCGTCTGCGTCATGTCGTGTCCCCTCGGCTCTAAGGGTTTTAAGGCCGAAAGCGTAAATGCATCTGCTATGTCCGTGCGTTCATCATTACGTTTTCATCCTTGCGAGGACAAATGAACGTTTGAAAGCACAATAAAAGTCCGTGCGTTCGCGTGATTTTTTTCGTCCGCGTATTCTACTGAGCATCTGCGGCGTCGCCCCCCCCCTTACCCTCGCTCCTTCAGGGCAATCCTCGCGCAACAGTTCGAGATCAAAGAGGAGGCTCCTTTTGAAGCCAATTGGAAGGCTTTGCGATTGAGCGAATCCACGGTTTCTTACCGTTGACGGCGTCTTTGAAGTGCGCGCTGTCGGAGGTGTCATAGGTGAACTTAATTTTGCTGACTTTCCAGAAATGCTGCTGCCGTCTCTTTGTGACGTTGCGGGTCTCCTGTGTGTGCGCGTGACACAGTCGCTCGGTGTTACGGGGGGGGGGGGGGGGGGGGCGACGAGGGGTCGTCTTCGCCACGAGCCGTTTGCCCGTCCAAGGACGACGGGTGTATTGCAGTGAGTCTGAAACTTGCAAGCGACAATCAGACCGCGACGTGATATTCATTGCATCCATTCGTGTGCAATTTGTAAGGGTGCGGTGACACAGACTTATTTCATTTAAAGGTTATAATCCCTTGTTCATCATGACGTCCTTTTTACTTCGATGTCTCAACAGCGTTACGAAGATCACGTGACGTGAGGGTTCTGCCTTTGTAGTGAGGGTTGTGAGTTGACGCCGAGGAGGGGGGGAGGAGGCGCCTCGGCCCCCCATGTGGAGTGACGTCACCCGCTAATTATTATGAATGGAGGGGGGGTGTGTCGATGTGGAGTGACGTCACCTGCTCATTATTATTAATGAGGGGGGGGGTCCATGTGGAGGACGTAACCTGCTCATGATTATTAATGAGGGGGGCAGGCCGACGTGGAGTGACGTCACGCGCGGGACACACAGACATTCTTGGCTCATTATAGTAGTGAATACCATCGCGTCGTCTCTGCGCTCTGAACCCGTGCGAGAGCTGAGTTCACCGCGCCAGAGATCAAAGCATCGTAAAGACGCATTCTCGCGTCGCGCTAAGCACATCACCGGGCCCATTTCTTTTCTCAGCTTTTGAACAACAAACGAGAAATACAATTCTCCTGTGCGGAGCTCTCCGATGTGTGGTCCTCACGAGCTGGATTCAATTCCTGAAGAAGCTCCCAGCACGTGCAGCTAAACGTTGGGCATCGTGCCGAACGACACAGCACATCCGTGACAACGTGCACACACACCATGGTGTCATTGCAACAATGCAACCATAATTGTTTCCACGCAACGGGAATGTCTATGCATGCATTTACAATAATAATCGTACTATAATTTGCAGACCGTTGTCTTTTTTTTTTACGATAGACCGTTGTCAATCGACTGAAGAATGAAGGTTCTCCCTATGCCGTATCGGTCCAGGGATTTGTTTGGCTATACTTCACCACGCTGGTTAGTGCGCATCGGTGAAGGTGGCGGGACCAAGAATCGTTTCCTATATATCGCCACTGACGTTAGCCGTGGCCGCAATAATCGAGCTAAGATCACTGAATGGGTTCGTAGCAGTGCGCTAATCACTGTGCCACCGTTCACCCAATGCTTGTTAATGATACTGTAACGCAATTTTTTTTACTTTCCAACGTGAAAGTGAAACAATGGAGAACATGATTGCATGGATATTAGTAAATTCCCATTGGTAACGGGCACTTACAGCCCTTGCAACTAATAATTAATGTCATTTATTTGGATATTGACCGTATTCATAATTATAACGTTGCGTGCATTGACTACCGTATCATTATTAAGTGTCAGGGTGAATTATTGTGCGATCTGACTGTTCTTACTATGACGATTTGTACCGGAATAGTTTAGCGTGCGGAATTACAAACCTCATGTGCCGCGTCAAACTGGGTTCACAACCTCCGTCACCTGCGCCATCAAATCGCTAAGCGCACAACGACAAACCCCAATCATTGGGGGGGGGGGGGTCGTTGTCAACAATGTAACGCAATAACTACACACGCTATGCGATTCCTTGCCGTGATCGTCTCTTCACGTACACGGTTTTGTTTTTAGAATGTGGTTACAAGCAACCCATCGGCCACACGACCTCACTGGGGGAATGGAATTGTGTCGGTAGCATTGGCTGAATGCACGCAGACACTGGAGCGGATTCGACATTCAGTGTCCCATCAGCAGAGTCAGCCTTGCTTAGTAGAACAGATCGCTCGATGGAGGGCCTGACTCGAAACTCTAAACCAGGGGTCGGCAACCTTTCAAAGAAGAAAAGACATTCTTTGTTTGTTTTTGTCTTCCACCAAAATAGTTCGAGACACGCAGAGCTACTTGTACACACACAAAGCAGATACACGGTAGATGACAAACATATTCTGACTTAAATCACCAAAATAGGTGATGGAATAAACTTGCGTCTATTTCGGTTTTTTTCGCCCTCTTGAGTTATTCATTAACAATACAGGTTGACTGTACATTTTGTTGTCACCAAGACATTCCATAGTGACCCATTCCTTGCCATATTTTATTAATTAGCTTGACGTTAAATTATGTTCAAGATTTAAGTAAAATAAAAAAACGGCTGCCCGCGATGGGGGCAGCCAAATAGCCACATTGGGGCATCCAAAGAGCCGCATGGGGGCATCCAAAGAGCCGCATGGGGGCATCCAAAGAGCCGCATGGGGGCATCCAAATAGCCACATTGGGGCATCCAAAGAGCCGCATGGGGCATCCAAAGAGCCGCATGGGGCATCCAAAGAGCCGCAAGGGGGCATCCAAAGAGCCGCATGGGGCATCCAAAGAGCCGCATGGGGCATCCAAAGAGCCGCATGGGGGCATCCAAATAGCCACATTGGGGCATCCAAAGAGCCGCATGGGGCATCCAAAGAGGCGCATGGGGGCATCCAAAGAGCCGCATGGGGGCATCCAAAGAGCCGCATGGGGGCATCCAAAAAGAGCCGCATGGGGGCATCCAAAGAGCCCCATGAGGGCATCCAAAGAGCCGCATTGGGGCATCCAAAGAGCTGCATTGGGGCATCCAAAGAGCCGCATGAGGGCATCCAAAGAGCCGCATTGGGGCATCCAAAGAGGCGCATGGGGGCATCCAAAGAGCCGCATGGGGGCATCCAAAGAGCCGCATGGGGGCATCCAAAAAGAGTCGCATGGGGGCATCCAAAGAGCCCCATGAGGGCATCCAAAGAGCCGCATTGGGGCATCCAAAGAGCCGCATTGGGGCATCCAAAGAGCCGCATGAGGGCATCCAAAGAGCCGCATTGGGGCATCCAAAGAGCCGCATGGGCGAAGCCAAAGAGCCGCATGTGGCTCCAGAGACGCAGGTTGGCGAGCCCTGCTCTCAACGCAACCTGTCTCGCGACTGGGTTGTTCAGCTGTAAACCAGCCTCGCGAGTCGATGATTTGCTTTGTCTAAGCAAGCGAATTCGTTAGTTTGAAAATCTGCTCAAACTAGCACGCTATTTGAAAATTCATCCTAAAAGTTGAGTTAGTTTCACGTCTCTCATCTTCCGACCCACCTGGCTCGCAGAATGTAAAGAAACGTTTAATGAAATGCGACGCATAACATGAATACGAATGAACAACACTTTTGTCAAATTTTTACTTAAAACTTTCGTGACTGCAGGAATTCATATTCTATGGTTTCTTTCGATAAAGTCACGTAGATAAAAAAAATAATAAAATAAATAATGTGAATAATAAAAGAAAAAGAAAAAGCCACGACGTTTCGATCGCAACACAAGCGGTCGTCATCAGGAAAAGGGGGAGGGGGAACGAAGGCTTCCACCTCTCACGAGCCTGCGACGTAACAATTCACCCCGAAACCCGCACGCCACAAATTATTCTTTAATAAAGGTCCACATCACGCCATCTAGCGCCATGTCCTGCCCAAGCTAGTTTGAACGATGTCACTAACCTGGGTATGTTCTCTCATCCACGCGTTCATCGTTTTTACCGTCTCTCAATGTAATTCCACGCATGCATCTCGCCCGCACGCTTGTTTGCGCATTCACACGTGAATCAATACATCCCGATGATTATGGATTTGTGCACGCAGCACTGGGGCAAACGCGCGGTAGGAGACCTTGTCAAAGTAGAGCTTGAGTATGTAGGAGTCGTCGCTCCACGATATGATTATCTCGGGCTGTGCGGTGGCCCCCCGTGCACAGCGGCCCTTCACCTGCGCGTTCCCAGGCATGGACACGCTGGCTTGCTCCGTCACCAGCTGCGCGCCCACACGCGCACACGTGACCCACCGGGTCTCATCTCAGAGGTGTGACACGCGTGCGGTGCGGTTGGCTGGAGGTGGGAGCTGCAGCCGCGGAGGTGTCACACTCACATCTCTGCTGAGCCGTGCCAAGGTCGCAACAACAACAACAACAATTATGACAACAAGAACATTTGTTAGATTTCTATTCGGGGCCAATGTCAAGAGGTCATCACGGCCACGACTCCCCGTTGATGTGACCACACCTCAATATAGAGTCGCAGAGGTGCCAGAGTTGGTGCTTGCTCGAGCGCTCGAGGTGTCACACTCGCATCTCCGCTGAGCCACGCAGTTTGTTACTAAATTCAGAGTCAATGTCAAGAGGTCATCGCGGTCGCGACTCCCCGCTGATACCACCAACACCTCGAGACTCAGAGGTGACTGCCGCATCTCTCTGAGACACACGCGGGGTGCACGGCTGGAGATGGTAGCTGAAAGCGGTCGACCAGTTGTCCCACTCGCATCTCCGCCGAATAAGTTTCCAATGAAAACAAAAATATATCGATTTTTTTTGCTCAGGGTGAACATCAAAAGGCCATAACGTCCACCTCATCGTGCTTTTGTTTCTCGCCTACTGCTCGATCGCTGTCAGCGGCGAAGTGAATTATACTTCCAAATCACCAGAAATGCGATTGATCTCGCCAGATCTCGGAAGCTCACCGGGTTGATCCTGGTTTGTACTCGAGTGGGCAACCCCCATAGATCAGGCAAAAAAAACTATAACTGCTCTAACATAGCTGCAGCGTCCCAGGCTTCGCCATAGGCAATGGTTACATAATTCGCAGTGGAATTCATTTGGTTGAATAAAAGACATGTACTCGCTGCAGTGTCCCACGCAGATTAGCTGTCCAAACTTTGCATGACCTCCAGTCATATTGACGTTGCATCATATACAAATTTGTCGTGCGCAAATGGATAAAAAAACGGATTAATAGAAAATTCCAGATAAATCCAGTAATGTATACCTGCATGCAGGCATGCTTTATGCAATATTAACATGAGAATATGTGCAGCCCTTTGTCAATCCGTTGCTGAAGAAAGGCCGCCCACCCCGTGTCGGTCATGGAAATTGTGTTCGAACATATTTCACCACGATGGTCATTGTGGGTTGGTGAAGTGCGTGCTGGGAGGGGGGGAGGGGGGCAACAAAAACATTTAATATTTTACTCGCCACAGATATTATCCGTGGCTAGGAATCCAAATACTCACATCGCTGGGTTAATCGCGCAGTGTGCTAATTACTGCACCAGCGCCCCACCTCTCCTCCTCAGCCATAACGTTAGGTCCGAGCCATAATTAACATGGGACTGCGGCAATTAGTCGCGGGACAGAGGGAAGCTAGTTGAAGGGTTCTCCTCAACTGGATAGACAGTGCTTGAAGGCAACAACACGCTTCATTTTAACCGAAACAGTCCGGAACGCTGTTCCGGGAAATTAGTATTTTATCACGCCGAATCCATTTCGCCTTATTTCGTCAATCTACATGCTATAAACGTCTTCGTACGATTACAGGAATACAGGATCATTATTATTATAAAAAAATGCGTACATAATACTCTCGTGATAGTAGCATATGCCAATAATCACGACAGGACTCCCAAGCAGCCTAGCAGCGTTCCGTCTAAATCTCGAGTGAGAAACAATCGCCGGGTTCGCACGTACATCCACGTAGTTGCTCGCCCAGGTATCGTACGGGATGTGGAACCTTGCGGCGAATTCCACCATCAGGCACGTGGTCTCGTTTTCTCGCACGGCAAAGATGTCCTTGCCGGGTATCTTAGCCAGCCCAGACAAATTCTCAGTTTCCTCCGCTCCGGATCCTGCACAAAGACAGACGGGAATTGTATTAGAACGCTACGTATGAGTTTTTTTTGCGGAAGTGTTGATGTGTTTTCTAGAACTGATTACAGTTCCTAAAGAAGCTTCCAGCACGTGGAGCGAAACGTTGGACATCATGCCGAAACAAACCGCGGTGCAACCGGGGAAAAACTAATCCGAAAGGCATAGAGTCATAGACCTTTGTTATATTTTTTCCCCCACAGAATTGTACGAGATGAGTCCATCAAACTCAAATTATCTCAGCGCGTTTTTTTAAAATTGCTGATTCGAAAGTATAACCTGTCAACTTTTTGTTTAGTTAATATTCAGTCGAGTATACTTTTAAAACGCATCATCTGCACCTCTCTCATTAAGGCAAGCATAATTCCTTGAAGCTAACGCTGCCAAAAACGAGTCTACGAGTGTACGTCTCTGTGCATTGCACTGCAAACACAGGTTTGGATATTCAGGTGGTGCGCACGCTGCATCAATATGCATAACACAAACCACACAGAACCGCGCGCTGCAAATTACAATAGAGTTCTTACCACAAGCCAGGAACGAGAGAATGTTCACTCCGAGTGCGAACAGCAGACGACTGCTACCTTGTACAATTTCTTTCCCGGCCATGTTTTCTCAAATAAAAAAAACCCACACTAACCCACAGCAATCTCTTACACGAAAATAAATGAACAAAAAAATATGTATATATATATTTTGCACTCGTTGCAAATCTGAAAGCAAGCCGTCTTCAGCGGGCGAGCAGATGAAAGCTGCTGAGTGCGTCTGCCGGCAAAGCCATGGACGTGCTGGGGGCGTGGGGCGGAGTGTGAGTATTAACCCTTTCCCTGATGGTGGCTCTCGCAATAATAAGAGCGTTTTGCTCTCATCATCACCACCACCAGCACCATCATCATGTGGTTCAGTCCGCATACAGAAATTCCTGCGCGTGCTGGAGAGGCGGTTCCAACCAGAGAGTCGGGCGTGCACTGAAATCCCAATGCATCCGACAAAAAGACAAAGAAGCTGTTGGGGAAAGTGTTGTTAGCGAGCACCTATGAAGGCCGGGCACGACACAAGAGGGAATGCGGGTGGCCTGTACCACGCCCGGCCGCCTTTGTCTCCCCAATAGCGGTGTTTACACATTGCCCCAGGTACTCATTCGAGGCTGAGTAGACGTAGGGAAGGCCCAGGGACTGGTTCAGATATGTGCCGCTGGTGTTGGCCGCGAGCGGGATTCGAACTCGGGTGGCCGAGGTCGTAGCGCAGCGCGCTAACCACTGCGCCACCGCTCCCCACAATGCATCATCATCGTCGTCGCACACACACGGGAGTCTCGGTGCTTGCAATGCGCGGCGCTCGAGCATGGCCGTGCATCGTAACGTGTCCGCTGCGTGCCTGCGAATTCCGCCACTGCGTCGCGCGCGTGGCCCCGTGTTGCAGCTATAAAGGGACGTGTCTCCGTTTGCTGGTGGCGCAAATTTGGTTGTGGCGAGACGCGTGGAAGGAATCTTCAAGGTCTCGCTTCGTGGACGGTGCCGATGCAACGGATGCATATAGCGCAGCAGCGGCAGCGGGATTAAGGAATTGTTAAAAAATAATAATTTTATTTAGAAGTTTATTTTCGAAATTGTTCGCGTGGAGACATTAAGGTCGCGTGTACGCGTACTTAATATTAGTTTTTTTCTATGCGAAATACGTGAACTAGATCAATGAGGCGAGCTGAATTCGTCTTTGGTTTTGTCGATGTTATATGACGTTCATTGGAGACTTAATACGCCAGGTAGGCAATTTGGAGTTGCTTGTTAAACATTCCGCTTGATAGTGACAACGCACGAAAACGTCAGGCGAAAATGGCTTTTAAAAGAAACAATGACGCAGCCTGTGCGTCGAGACTTGACGCACATTCGAGTGAACCCGAAGATCGAGCGCTATAATTGTTCTTTGTCTTCTCAAAAGCGCGATGCTTGCGAATGTCCAAATCATACGGCGATTTGGTGTTCAATCTTCAGTCCTTGGTCTCAAGATGGCCACTGAAATGTGCCCCAACATAGCGAAGATGATCGTCATCCACGTGAATTGTGTCGTGTTGAATTGAAACAACTGGGAGCTTGTATTGTCGAGTTTTATTTGTCAGCGTTTGAGGCCTGCCGGTTGTACAATGCACTTGTGTAATCGATCTGCAGTCATCGGGATGACGTGGCTATTACTGCAGTTCATTTATTTGTGAATACACCGCAGACACGCGTCACATTTTCTGCTCGAATATGTTATTGTTGTATTACAGCGTGAAGGATAGCGACAGACGATTCGTGTTAAACTATGTAATTATCACGCTTAGATGTTAGTTTAATACATGTACAGTATGTTCAACTTCAATTAACACCGTTCCGTAGCCAACCGTGCTTATGATTAGTGTGTGGTTCAAACGTTACTTCATCGTGTGATGCTCGTTTTTAAATTGAAAACGGCATCGTATGCAACACGTACAATGTCTGTTCATCACAACGCGTACATGTATTGCATTTGTTCTATTAATTCAGCGGTAATCCTCAACCTACAGACTATCACGCACATCTATTGACAATCGCACCGCAGTTATCGATATAGTGCGTAACATTTTTTAGCTTTTTATTATTTGTAATTTATTTTTAATTAAATTTTACTATTAAAATTTTTATTGTGGTTTTTTGCTTTTATTATTTTCAATTGATTTTTAATTTTTTTATTTAATTCTATTATTTTTTATTTCTTACCTTCGTGACTTTACCGAAAGAACCAAGAATATATAGTGTGCAACATATAGGAAACATATATACCCGTACGTCGAGTTTATGCAATGTGAAAACAACGTGAGAACGTTTTTCTTTTAGACGTTGATACAATTTTGTGGTCTCGCAAGAATGTTTCACCGTGTGTGTGTATGTGTCTCATCTAACGTTGTCCCCGACGTGTGCTAAACACGTGCTTTCGCCGCGTCAAGATTGCGATGCAGAGTTCTACGCGGACAGACGGAGCGTTCGTCCGAACCACGGCGGCGGTGCAGGATTTATGTTCAAGCAAATACAACATTTGCCCGTGACCAAATCACCCGGATTAGAATCCCACCGATCTCGTTAGATCTCGGATGTTAGAGCAGGGTTGAGCCCGCGTTTTGCTTGATAGGTTCATCTTATTGGTTCTTTCGGTAAAGTCACGTTGAAGGAAAATAATAAAATAATAAAAATAAAACATAATAAAATCAAATTCTCACGACGTTTCGGCCACAACGCAAGCTTTGATTTTATAATGTTTTATTTTAATTATTTTATTACTTCCCTTCTACGTGACTTTACCGAAAGAGCCAAGAATATGAATCCCTGCAGTCACGAAAGCTTTAAATCGAAATTTGATAGGTTCAGTTTATTGTCTTTCTTCCCACAACCTCCGATTAGGCACGGTGCGAAAGAAGTTCAACGTACATAGGAACCACGATAGAAGTTACATATACATAGATACCGAACGGATGACGAAGAACGCACGCTAGGTTGGTGGTGTCATAGGGGGGCTACGGAGCATTGCTACGAGGCGGTCACTCGATCGGGGGTGGCGTCGGTTCTACTTCTATGCTCCCCGCTTCCAGCCCGCGCTGAACAGACTTTGGTGAAATCGTAGGCATGATGGAGATGCCCTCAATCAGCAGTGGATTGACAAAAATTAACCCGTGAAAACAAAGTTTTTCACTCTAAATCCTTTATATGCGTGGCGGCTAGAGTCCTCTCGTCCTCTGGCTTGAGATGGCTGCCCCCTATGGGTCAGATGATTGCATTGCACCATTAAGCAATTGGTAATTAAATAATATTTTTGTCCTAAAAAGTGTAACATTTTGGAAAAAAATATTTTCACGAACATTAATTGTCACGCACAACGAGTCTGTGTGGAAAATGTCAGCTCGATTGGATCACGGGAAGTGGGTTAAAAAACGACCGAAAGATTTGCACGGTCCTAAGCAAGCAAGCGAACTTAATATAAAGGATTTAAAAAGAGCTGTATATATGAACGCAAATAAAAGTATGTTTACCAAGAGCTCCAACATGCAATGCTAAACTCTTCACGATGGCTTCTCGCAATTTGTAAAATAATCTATAGTGCATTTACAACATTGCTGCTTTACAGTGACACCCATCGTATATCAAGGGCCAATACCCTGGCTATACGATGCAGGGTCAATATTACTTCGAGCAGTTTGTGTACTGGTTCAACGCCGCAGCAATACAAACACACCTCAATAAGATGACATTCTCTGACATTTCATATCTCGAGGCGTGCGGCATACAATGCAAGCCAGGATGTGTGCTTATTAATAACAATAACACACAAGCGCTTTGTCAAGTCACCACCAAATTAAAGCCTCCCCGACGTCGTGTCTGTCCGTTGAGGTTTGTTTAACCATACTTCACGTCGGTCAGCGTGGAACCTGTGATATGTGATAAGGGGCCATCCGTTTAGTAGGTACGTCAAAAATTGTCAAAACTTGACCCCTTCCCCCCCTCACTGTACACACGCGTACTTTTTACACCCCCCCCCCCCACCTGCGTACGTACGCTTGACGCACCCCCACCCCCCCGAATCCTATAGAAGGGCCGATATTTTATCCACGCAGAAACGATCAAGGATTAATAATATTAACGTGTTTAAGCCAACAGATAGTCCACCACCGGACTATCTAACTCATTTGAAGGCCAATGTAGACACATTATTATCGAGGCTTCACCCCCCCCCGCCCCCCCCTTTTCCTATGCGTACGTACATTGTCAGTAGACCCCCCAATACGCAAGCGTACGCATTTGGGTTATCCCCCCCCCCTCCATGCGTACGTACTAAATGGATGGCCCCTAAGAGCGTGAGGGGTAAGATGCTGGTTGAGGCAGTCACCCGCGGATGATGTTAGCCCCTGGCTGGGAATCGAACTCAGCTGAGTATGGTTACAGCGCAGAGCGCTAACCACTGATGACATCGTTCCCCACCTTCGAGTGTCCATTCATCATCATACACACGGCCAATCCACTGCTGGAGTAATGCGTGACAGTGTGTTTATTCGACTTTATAAACATCGACGCATTAGTCCACAATCTCATTGCATCACACGTATTTAATTGCACCGTACACAAGGCAATGGCTGTGCATGAATGCAGAGAACAAAACGTGAGCGAATTGAGCAAAGTATTCCGCAATGCCGTGAGCATGACTTGAATGAATGCAGAGAACACGATGTCATATAGTACGGGTTGCTATGTGTACATACACAAGCTATCCTGGGGAAAACGTGTACACGCAGTTGGTCTGTGGATATACAGTGTGTGTCTATCTGTATGGGTTACTTTGACGAGTTCAACTCAACAAGGCAGTGGCTGCCGCCGTATACAGATGCGCACGCAAATATCTGCAGTGAGTGAAATTCATGCTCATTTGCTTACGATTCAGCTGTCGGCTATATACAGACAATAGCGTTTCATCGAAGTTGGTAATTAACAATAATAATATCAATACACCGAAAACGATGAAGCATTTTGGAAATCCACTGCTGGATGAACCTCCCAGCCACCTCCCCGCATCCACGCTTTGCCGGGAGCCGGCGATTTCAGACTCGGCCCTGGGTCCTGCATCGTTCGTTTTTCACGAACCTGCACTGACCAGCGTGGTGGAGTATGGTCCAACAACAGCCACGACCGACACGGGGCGGGGAACACAACTTCATCTCGCAGTGGATTAACAAAAGGCTGAAAGTTAATTGATATCCATACACTTATGTATATAGGCAATTGTGCGGTTATTTTAGCAGCTCCGGTACGTGCGATGACGCTATGCAGCATGAGTCCCCTTGGCCCCGAATCACATATTATAATTGTAGGTACCACCTTGAGATTACAACACTTGAGTTGTGCCAAGCTGTTTATATGACACCCCTCAAAAAACGCGAATTATGCAATCATATAAATTAATAAGTGCTCTGGCCCTTGGACTATTGAAACGACGGGGCACTGCGAATTTAAGACTCCAAGCACGGCGTCTCATCCGCCGTGGATTGCCCGCCGCTTTATTCCCCGTGACGATGGTCAAAGGCAGCAGCAAGGAGCGGACGGGCGTTCGGCTCTCGACACCACTACAGGAAGCGTCACGATCTTAGCTGGGCGTGAGCATTGCCGCAATGGCTTTGGAAACAAAAAGTTTACCGACTATTTGAATTCAGTCTGACTTCGACTTGACAGCTTTGCACGGGCGCAGCGGTGTCTGGCAGAGTGACGGCAACCGGAGACATTGAGGCAACGACTGCGTAGGTTTTCGATGGTCGCGCTGGACAGCACTCTGGTGTGTCTGTGTGTGTTTGTCCTGTAACGAGCCTGAAGAAGCTCCCAGCACGAGCGTCGAAACGTCGGACATCGTGCCAAGGAAAACAGCACGCGGTACAACCGGATACAGCAAGTCGGAGAGCGGAGTTACGATAGGTAAGGCATTGCGTGGCATGTTAAAATTCGAGGTGAAAACATTTCACATTGTACAACAATCTTGTTCATAGCCGTGGGGGCGCGGAAGGGGTTGGGGGGGGGGGAAGTTGTCACTGGGGGGTTGGGGGAGAGAGGGGCACTCTTGGATTTTGCCCCTCGCTGCTCCTCCACATCGATCACTTGTCTGCTCGAACATCGCCTGCACTGAAGTAAGAACACGGGCTCGTGTTCGTGTCCAGCTCCATGTACGCATCCTCGTCCCCTTCTTCGTCGTCATAGCGCCTCTTGCTCGCATTCACGAAGGCGCCCAACTCTCTCAGCTCTCGTCCATCGTCCACATCGTCGTCATCATCATCATCATCACATCCCATCTCGCTCTTCTCTTCGTCCGCGTCTGCACCAAACCCGGACGATGTCTCCGCCTCGCTCCCGTCCGCGCCCGCCGGCGCGCATCGCCTTGGCCCCGCGGCCACGCTTTGCTGCTCCTGCAGACCGAACCTCTTGAAGGCTCTGAGCAGAAACTGGAGCACGTCCCTCTGGCCGGCCCTGCTGGCGTGCGCGATGGGGCTGCGGCCGCCGTGGTCGGAGACGCGAGGGTCGGCCCCGCGCTGCACCAACAGGCGCACTGCGTCCATGTGCCCCCTCTCGCTGGCGTGACTGAGCGCGGTGCGACCCTCGCTGTCCTGCGCGTTCACGTCCGCGCCCGAGTCGAGAAGAAGACGGAGAAAGGCGGCCCGGCCCGAGTCCAACGCCGAGGCGGCGTGGGTGAGCAGGGTCTGGCCAGAGGCCACCTGGGCGTCCACGATCCTGCGGTCCAACGCGTCGAGGATGAAACGCGCCAAATGCAGCTTTCCTTTCCCCATGGCTTCGAGCAGCGCCTGTGTGCCGCTCTGCTCCAGAACTGATCGTCGCTGTTGCATCATGGCTGTGTGATTCTTTGGGCCACTTGCTCGATGGTCGTGTTGATGAATGACAGATTTTGTTCGTCTTCTGCTTCTTCTCCTTTCGTTTGGTGGGGGAATTGATCAGCAGCAGCAGCAGCACGTGTTTGTGTTCATGTCGAGGTTGGTGAGTGGGGACGGCTTCAAGGGTGGCCTGATGAATGTGTGAAACTTCTGCCAGCGAATGATCGAAACTGGCAGTGTTGAACTATTAGTAGGTGTAATATATATGTGTGTGCGATTGAATTAAAACAGTCCACCTATGAATGGCAGAGAGAGAGATAGGGAGGGAGATATATAGTCGAAGGAGCTATAACTGCGTGTGGTGAGAGCGTACGCCTCTCTGCGTTGGCTGGGGCAGAAATTCAAAAGTCTGTAAAAATATATCGTGCCCTTCATTATTCGTGTTGCTAAGGTGAGTATCCTTGGTGATGCCGTGTGTAACAAGACCCGAGAACATGACGCATGCACGCTTTTTTTCTATTACAAAAAGGGCAAAATACAAGCAAGCGTGTTCTTGTCGGCTCACTAAATTAACAGCGGGGTTGTAATTCTTTATGTATTAAACTCAAATTTGGTACCGTGGATATTATAAACATTTGGCAGCATGTATGTTATAGCCATACATTAATAATATTCAAGTAAAAATGTGTACGATTGAGTTTCGCAAAAATGTGCCACTTTTGCGTTGGTTACATACGGCAAGCAACTTAACAACGTTCAGCCTCTGGGCGCGTCTGACGCACACGTGTGAGTAGCTAATGAGTCTCCGGGGCGGGTGGTCCTCGTGTACGAGCGGTGCCCCGATGGTAATCTTCTTCTCTCGTATGGCTGATTTACAGGCAGAGCGACAACTACAATTTCATATTTTGGTGGCCAAGCCAAACCAACGGAGTCAGGATCAGCGGAGTGTATCGCTGTGATTTCTCCGCCGATGATGACGCATTGGTAATGGCTAGGGCGTGGTAAAGAGTGGAAGTGATTGGACGAACCCAGAGAGAGAGAGAGAGACCCGCGTTCATCCTCCGTGTAATCATTCGAATCTATACGGATTTTGAGAAGGTGTACAGACAAAGTGTCCTGCATACGCTCGATAGCTGAAACTATTGTTCGAAGAAGAACGAGTCGTCAATGTGTATTAGTCTTCTTTGGAAAATGTTTTCACAGACCCACGTCCAATAATCCACTCATTCGTATTAAAAAAAGAATACTTGAATCATTCACGATCTTTTTTCAGGTTGAGTAATATTCTGCACTTTACAACAATGCCAATTCTTTGTTTTGCTTAATTCATTCGCATGCTCTGAATTAAGGGTTGGAAAAATTCACGTTGGGTTGCATACACACGTGTACATGTATATCCAATTGCGTATTTAAGCCATTGCTGTATATCTGCAATGCTGCGGTGTATTTTTCACGTGAGAATCAACTGCATCATCATCTGCATCATCATCATCTGCATCATCATCATCATCCGCATCATCATCTGCATCATCATCGTCTGCATCATCATCATCATCTGCATTATCATCATCATCGTCTGCATCATCATCATCATCTGCATCATCTGCATCATCATCATCTGCATCATCATAATCTGCATCATCTGCATCGTCATCATCTGCATCATCATCATCTGCATCATCATCATCTGCATCATCATCATCTGCATCATCATCATCATCTGCATCATCATCATCTGCATCATCATCCGCATCATCATCTGCATCATCATCATCATCATCTGCATCATCATCATCTGCATCATCATCATCTACATCATCATCGTCTACATCATCATCGTCTGCATCATCATCATCTGCATCATCATCATCTGCATCATCATCATCTGCATCATCATCATTGGCTATGTCAATGAACGATGGGCGATTAACAAAAAACAAGATGAACGAGAATGGCAGGTATTGCATTGTAATCGGTCACTCTAGTCCTGCTCTTTGTTCGAGAGAGCATCACGAGTCGACACTGCGGTAAGCGCCGCAATGTTCCGAGCATGGTGTGCGTGTCGTTAGGAGCTTTTGAATAATCACGGTTTTTAATGTTTGGACAGTCGCTTGATACACGACGAGATGTACCCCACGCAGATACAGCGATCCTCCACCAGCATCATGGCTTTCGCGAGTCTCAAGAACATGTGCGAATGCTTCACAAGGTATACCTTCCATGATTGCACAAAACGAAAACTTAACGATGAATAATATTTCCTGTCTACGTTCACAACGTTTGTGTGCGGAGGATATTTCTTTGCTAGAATGGGATAAACTCTCAGTGATTTTTTTTTATTGTTGTTTTTAATATGTTGTACGTCATTGGTTGAATGCATTGCGAAACAATAACAACGTACGTTCGTTCACGCAGGAATAACACGCTCGCGTACGTTGGCTCGCATAGAAATAACACTGCGGGCACTGTGTGCGTATGTGTTTTGAGAGCTAAAATATAGACTTTTAAATTTTTACCAGGTATGGCACACTGAGCTATACAGTTATTTTTTTCACCAATGACTTGGCCACAAATGATAGCTTAACGAAGTGGATTATCACGTGGAAATATCGAGCAGCGAGACACTTTAATGGCATGATTCTAAATGTGGAGACCACGGGCAGAGAGCACACGCTAACTCCAAATATAAAAACATCAGGGTCGGGATCGAACTCACGCCCTGTACATCTGGCGAGGTAGTTAACATCTCGCCACCGCGGCACCGCTATTAATAAGGCCACAAATGCAATTTAAAGTAGCTTCAACTATGCAACGTCTCGCTTGGTTTCCGGAATGGCATCGTTATACCGAGACATTTAAGGGAGCTCACGGTGCTGACGGTGTGGCTTCAAATGAATCCACATGCGTAAGTTAATAGTATGACACTCCTTGGGGTTGGGTATCTTTCTTTGGACTCAGACGTTTCAACTGTCCCTTTTTATCCTACATAGTTGATCCTTCTCGACCTACAGTGGGATGAATGATGTTACTTGCTCTGGTCACATCTGGATGAAGATCAATTGAAAGTTTCAAGACTATCACGACGGTAGTTTATGAAAATGCGTCTATCCTGATATGTGTGGCGGTGGTATATATTGTCCTTAATAGGTGCTCGCTAAGAGCAGTTAACCCCATGAGTCTGTTCAAGTTGTATGGAGGATCTTCGTCTTTGTGTATGGTCTACAGTTCCTAACGGTCAACACGCCTCCATAACATGCTGTTGTGTGTGTGTGTACGCCCTCTACACATGTAGATGTCGGGACACGCGTTCAATATTCATCTTGGCTATGCGTTGTCAGCGTCACTTCTCATTAGGACGAGCTTCAGGTCCGTCTCCAGCTCTTCTTGGATGGAGGGGCAGGGTGGCACTGTAATAGTGATGTTCACCACCAACCACTACAAAGAAGCGGAGTGAACTTGCTTGAGCCAAAACGGCAATTAGTGGTTCAGGGCCCACCCCAGCGCCCCCAAAGTGTGAGCGCTGGTCAACATCCTTGCAGTGATATGTGTTATGAAGGGCGATTGCCCAAAACGTCGCCCATAGATTGCCTCAAACGTCGACTATTGCTGCATAGATCTATAATTTTAACGCAGTGTTATCGACGAACTTGAGGTTTTAATTTTTTGTAAAAAAAATTCCCTTGCAGCGATTGCCTATAACCAGCTGTGGCTAAATTGCGTGCCTCATGAGCCACACACAGTAGTGCTAGTCTACATAGCAGCCGGGCTTAAATTTGAGATGGCGTCGTCCAGAACCGAGCTCTGGAAAATATTTCTCTGCCCCATGCCCCGACCCCTCACTGTCAGGCGGCTGGGGGTTGGAGTGTCCCAGAAAATATTCCATGAGAAATGAAGCCTTGTATTCTGTGATGTCCAATCAAAGATAACCTAGGCCAGGAATCGGCAATAAAAATCACAAGAAGAGACATTTTTTTTTCTAATTCGGTAAACCAACTTGAATGTTAAATTTCGATTTAAAGCTTTCGTGACTGCAGGGATTCATCTTCTTGGTTCTTTCGGTAAAGTCCCCGACAGACCTGGTCTTCACATGAGGACGGCTGCTTGCGTTGTGGCCGAAACGTCGTGAGAATTATTTTTTTATGTTTAATTTTAATTATTTTATTACTTCCCTTCTACGTGACTTTACTGAAAGAACCAAGAAGATGAACTTGAATGTTTCAAGAGCCGCAATGCACGTGAATATGAGACGGTGGTGGTCCTTCACGAACAACCTCACAAATCAGTCCTTAAAGAGCCGCATGCAGCTCTGGAGCTGCAGATTGCCAACCCCAGATCTAGGCTATGATATCCAATTATAGTAATGATGTAGAGTATAATGTATTATATTGTGGCTCTCGGCCATATGAAGGTTTTGGCATATGGCACATAGGGTCAGGAAGTGTGGCCACCCACAGCCTATAGTGTTAATGACCATGGCGAGCCATTGAACAAAGGCAGCCGCTGCATTGCACGCTTTCAGGTGCGCTCCTGCGGCCGTCTGGAATTCTGTTTCGTCCGAGGGGTCGGGGCATGGGGCAGATACAATCCAGATTGAGCACTCTTTTCTTTAGAACTGCTTTTCGTGCTTAGGTGTCTTCCCCCCGCACCTCCGATTATCACGGTTGGCTACACACGGCGCGAAAGAGATGCAGCATACTCTTAGGTTTTTTCGTTAAAGTCACGTAGGTAAAAAATTAAAATTAAAATTAATAAAAGTAAAATAAAAATAAAATAAAAATCACGACGTTTCGGAGGCAACACAAGCTTCCGTCTTCAGGTGGAACCGTCACAGCACGATAGCTGTGTTGCCTCCGAAACGTCGTGATTTTTATTTTATTTTTATTTTACTTTTATTAATTTTAATGTTTTACCTACGTGACTTTACCGAAAAAACCTAAGAATATGAATCCTTGCAGTCACGAAAGCTTCAAATCTAGAAAAGATGCAGCATACTACACACACACGTGCATAGTAGTGCTGGGGGGGGGGGGGGAGGACCCAGTGAGGCTGGGGCACGAAGCATCAGAAAGTGGCCCCCCCTTGTTTGGCGCTGCCGGTGACCCCGCACCGACGCAGTAGGGTGCAAGCGTCGCAACGCGCCTCTTCCTTGCACCTGTCCGCGTGACGCATCCGGCGGAGGTGTTCCGGCTGGAGGAGTTGCCGGGAGACCGAGCGCCACGTGTCCCGCGGATTTGCCCTTCGCGCAATCTGCAACGAGGGTTTTGTGGCAGTGGCTTTGGATCTCGTGGAGAGCAACGGGCGACCGCCCCGTTTGGCACCACGATTAAGTGAAGGAAACGGT